CTCTCTCTCTCTCTCTCTCTCTCTCTCTCTCTCTCTCTCTCTGTCCTTATCGCACACATGTATAGTTTTACTTGGCGCTGCCCCGGCGCGCGCCTCTCGTCAGTCACAACGCGGCGGAGCGTGATTTATTGCGTCGACTTTATCGCCGTCGTCGGCGTACGTGCTAATCACCCACCACGCACACGAGACATGACTCAATCGAACGTCGTCAGTGTGGAGGTTTCTACTCCCCATGGCTTCCCATCTCCACCCACCAATCAAGGAGATAGTCTGACCGACTGGTGACTTCCGTGACTGGATGACTTCCGTGTATGTAACGCTAACGCCGTGAGTGCGGAGGTTTCTACTGCTCATGGCTTCCCACCTCCGCCCACCAGTCAAGGAGATAGTCTGACCGACTGGCTACTTGAGAGAGTGGGTGACTTCCGTGTACGTAACACCAGGGGTTAATAATGACATATTGTCATTATTAACCCCTGGTAACACTGATGTCGAGTTTGGGGCGTTAGATATCCGGCGTTCAGAGACGCTCCGTTGCGGACACATTCCCCGCGAAAGACAGCAGTACGCAGCGATCGGTCGTCGCATAGTGAAAAATCTACGGTGTCGCCTTTGAAGGCATTTTATTGTTCCCAGAAAAAAACGGCGGTATGTCATCGCGGAGATTCCGCGGGGACTTAAACGAAGTCGACTCCCCCGTGAATGAGGGAGTGTCAACCGTAAAGTGCTATCGTGGCGACTGACGTCGCTGTGCGTATAGTATCTGCGCTCTGACTGCCTGATTGACCGACTGTTCGTCTAACCCGCGTCCACCCGATATTCTCCTCGGACCGCTTACTTACGGGGTTTAGACGTTAGGGTTTTTTTCGTCGTGTAGATTCTTTGCCGCAACAGCGGCCGGGCGACTCCCGTTTCGTTCGCGTCTCACTTATAGCTCTCGTGTTCTACTTCAGCTGTGAACGGCGGCGCGCCCAAGTGTGTGTTAGTGGCGCGGCGGTAGTGGCGGCGGCGGGGGAGTGCCTATTTTGAGATATTTATCAACAGTGGTCAGTCACACCGCCTCTTTGTCACGTTTCCGCTGGCAGCTTAGGCAACCGTAGATCACGTTAGCTTATTTACATTCCTCTTAACCGTTCTTCCCCGTTACCCTAACCCTAACCCTAACCCTAAACATACCTCATATAAAAATATAAACATAATACTAAACAACCTAAAACTACCTCCTAATTATATAAAAATATAAACATAATACTAAACAACCTAAAACTACCTCGGGTACATATCTGTAGTACCGGATACGACAACGACCCCATCTGCGTTAGTAGGCGATGCATAACAATTACTTAATTTTTACATATCCTTTTGCACATCATATAGATGCATGACTGCACTCCACGTCGTCTGGTTTTCTACACGGCTGACTCGGATAGCCTTGAAACAAAAATACTCGCCGGTTCATTGGCTGATGATGACTCGGCGTGATGTCTATTTTCAATTTTGTCTTGTGGATACAATCAGATGTTACCCTGCCGTTGAAACAAGAAAACGTTTGGCTGGTTCAAATGTCGCCATTAAAAGCCAATCAGAATTTCCAAAAATTCTGCTCACGGTGAAACATCGTCTTGGATACAGTCCACCGATCTAAGTGAGGCCGAGCAAAGCACAGTAAAAACGCGTTCACCCTTGCCAATATCGGGTATCGAGCCCGCTGATTTTTGCTTGTTCCGGCTAGCTATCGGCTCGCTAAAACAGGTTACTGTGGAAATGGGGAAAAAAGTAGAATCCGCGATGAAAGTATAACCGCTATTATTTGTAATCGTTCAGTCCAATGTATGAACTCGGACTAATGTAGGTATAATAATTTATCGAGCCATGCATGCGCGTTATAGCCGATTATTCACTATAGTACGG